CTAAGGAATGCGGGTACGATTGGTCAGAGGTTTCTAGTCACGCCTAATGCACACGCATTCTAGACCGTCGCGCGTTATTGGTCGAAACGCTCATACATACTAAATCCGCCGCTTGCACACCACAAAGTCAGGTGGTGTGGGTGCGTAACGACGTTGAGACTAGGCGGAACAGACCGAGGAGGATTCACTCCTTAGCCTCCGCAACATCTCATCGGTGCACTGTACATGTACGTATGTGGCACAAATGATCAACTTGATCGGTCGAACGGGTACTGAGAAAAAGAAACATAAGTGTTTAAAAACGTGATTTTACAGAGGAGCTACTTCGTAAGCATTATTCACCTATTTATAGCACCCGAAAACTTGTTTTAATTATAGACTCTAACTCCTAATATTGTCTATTACCAAATAAAAGGACAAAATAAAATTCCTCTTAAGGGCGTATTCTCATTCGAAAAGGTAAAAATATCGATTTTTTAGCATGTTTTTGTATGCGAACATATGAAACTAAAATCCGAGATCATTGTACAGTTTACTGTATCTTTATTTTATTATATAAATGTTTGAGGTTCAATCTATTAAGAAATATAGCTTGTATCGTATGAAATTGCATCGTTGACACTTAAAATGATATTTGTTTTTTAGCTTAACAAAAACACAAAGTTCTAATGAGGTTTTATTATATATGTATACAGTAGCTCGGAAAAGTATGCGGTCACTATTTAAAACAGAATACCTCATTTAAAATTGGATCAAATGACTTGAGGTTTTTTAAGAAGTTATACAAATTAAGATTTCACAATTTCAACAAATTGTAATTTTTTAAAACGACGAAAGCACATATCTCAGTAAATTGATTTGTATAACTTCTCAAAAAACCTCAATTCATTTGGTCCAATTTTGAATGAGGTATTCTGTTTTAAACGGTGTGCCAATACTTTCTCCCAATCCTGTATGTATTTGGAGTATCGATCACGTTGAAGGTTTTTGAGTCAGAAAGGTAGCAGTGATTTATTATTTTTAGAAATAGAGCGACGAGCAAAACCAATGTCACAATACAGATTTTTATATAACATCTTGTGTAAACCTGTAAAACAAACTATCTTTAACCTAATTCTGTTTGTAAAATATTACGTCTTTTCATATTATAATTCGTTAATAACAACGCTGGCTATCATTGGAAAAAAAATCGAAAAGTTTAGAACATATTTGAAAGGTGTAAAAGTTTATTCAAAAACTCATTTATTATTCTGGTTGTAAGACCTTCTATCATTTTATAACATGGTAATTTTTTATTTATTTTATATATCTACTTTAAAATATATAAAAATCAACTTGTAGTATAATGTAAAAAATAACGTAACGACAACTCGCACAGTAAAGTTACACATTATGTATTAGTTCTCTATAACTCGAATTTTCGGTAATTATTTAGAAGTTTGCCATCCTCACCGATTTTCGTAACCTCGAAATATGTTGTCAAGGTTATCATTCTGAACAAATTTTCCCTATACATGTTACCGCCACTCGGTCTTAGTTTCCGAGATATTCGTAAAAAACTGTAGTTATACTTATATCACCAGTACACTGTATTCCGAGAAATATGGAGACTGAATGGTGGTTGAAAGAGTGATTGAAGTGGTTTGAGGTTAGGGTTAGGGTTATGGTTAGGTTAGGTTAGGTTTAGGTTAGGTTTAGGTTTAGAGTGTACAAGCCGTGATACGAGAGCTAATATTTCTCGTTATGGAACTCGTACATCTCATTACGTGGGATATATAGCTAAGTTTTTATTCCGACGTCAACATGATGTTAACGAGCGTATAATGGCATTTTTCGACATGATGGCCGAAATGTTTCCGATTTCTGACGAAACACAAAATGAATAACAGGTATACAATATATAAAAGGTGAAATAAAGAGTAATTATAACGCGAAAAAATCAAAAACAAAACCCTAACCCTAACTCTAACCCTAACCCTAACCTCAAACTACTTCAATCATTCTTTCAATCACCATTCAGTCTCCATTTTTCATGGAATACAGTGTACTCGTAATCTAAGTTTAACTAAAGATTTTTGCAAATATCTCGGAAACTAAGGCCGAGCGGCGGTAACATGTATAGGGAAAAGTGACCTTGAAAACATATTTCAAGGTCACAAAAATCGGTGAGGAGGGCAAACTCCTAAATAATTACCGAATTTTCTGTTTTCGAAAATAAATGTTAAATTATCTTCAGATTTATCTACTTGCACTTTTAAATTACTATAGATAGTAGGAACTTTGAGAAAGGAAGTTTTAAATTTGCGATAAAGATTTGACGTATTATTCGAATTATACGAATGTAAGTAGAAGGTCTACAAACCTGTCTAACCTGCGGCTCGCGGGCCACTCGTGGCTTGTTCTCCTACCACGGTGCTCGCGCTCGGCTCCCCCCACTCTTCCAGTCGGTTTCCCAACTCTTTCAATATTTGGCGCTTATTCCTAGTCCTAGCAGAGCAGATTTAGCGTCTATTCATACTGCGAGAAATCGCTGCCCCACTACTGACACTACTGGATGGTAGGGGAAGTCTGAAGCGGTAAGAATGGGAGCAGTGGCTGGTGGCTCTTTTGCTTCCAGCAGACAGTGGACTCTCGTTATAGTGCTTCCTAAGCAATTTGATTTTCAGGCTACTCTTCTAACGACAGACTCTGCCAAGTAGGGGAAAACCATTCCTGTGAAACACATGTTCCGGTTCCCCTTCCAACGCTGCTCTTTCAAGTAAGACGGGACGATTCCGAATAGGGATGGGCAATATGTTTCGATTAATTAAATATCGATAATTTTTTTCCTAATAATCGATTATTTTTGTCAATGTTTCTGTAAATTAATTAATCGATTATCGATACTTTTTTACATAACATCAATATTTTTTATCTCTGTGAGAAAACTGAACAGCATGATAACGCGACGCGCATTATTCAATCAGAGAAATGTTCATTGGGTATAAATCGTGTTCCGAAATTCACTGCCAGCACTGAAAATCTATAATACGTAACTAGATTCCAGCACTAGCAGTGAATTTCGGAACGCGACTAAATAAGAACGCCATACACATTTGTGTTATTATATTCTTGTAACTCTTATTAATTGTTCTTCATTCTGATTCTGTGATCTTAGATTTAAAAAATTATCTTATCCAAATACTCCATCTATAATTTTCTTTATCATCTCAATCCTTTTGCATCTGTTTTGCTATTGCAGGTACAGTGACTTTTTATAAAGTACGCATAATATTTTGATGTTTATGCTGCTTATGCATATCATTTTTTAGAATATCCAATTCCCTATAGATTTAATAAAAACTTTTTTTCTGGTCACGAAGTCAACCCTGTTGCACTTACAGCTCAAGAACCCACAAAATACTATTACTACTTGGGGGGAATTCATTAATATTCTTCGAAGTTAACATTAAATGTACGATTCTGATTTAAATATATTTTTTAGTAAAACTTAAATAAGAAATATAGTGTAATATTTTTTGTTTACCTGTATATGCATTTTCTAGGCTACGTTCTAGGAAATGTGCTCAGGCTGGTATTTCCAAAATCAACCCTATTAAAAAAGAATTCGATACTTCGATATTTTTTAAAAAGCATCGATGTTCAATTATCGATTTTTTAACTAATCGATTACTTTAACATCGATATTTTTTTCGAACATCGTCCATTCCTAGTTCCGACTACTGTCTCTCCGTCTTTCCTAGCGGCGATACTGTCTTCTCGGAGAGTCGGTTCAGTAAATCCTGGATAAATACAACCAAGGTTGGGACCCTGTGGTTGCATTTATCCAAGCGAGGTGTCGATTCTGCGTCCGTACACATGTTTTATATTCAGCCGACATGCCGATTCTGTGTCCGTACACATGTTTTGTATTCAGCTGACATGCCGATTCTGTGTCCGTACACATCTTTTGTATTCAGCCAACATCATTTATATTCAGTCGTGGTGTCAATTCTATGTTGTTTATTCTATTACTATTGTTTATAAATATAATTCAAACTATATCATGTTTGGTGTCATTTTAATCAGAAAAATCCCACAAATGCGTTAGTAAAAGTTTCGTTAAGAAAAAGTTAAAAATAAAAAAGTTTTATCGTTCAATTAGTATTAGTCACAGCGATATTACGGTCGGATCATATTACACGGTTTCCTCGCCGAGCGGCTCGGTTCGGCTTAGGGGGATCCCCCCAAGTGGAGGGGATAGCGATGTTTCACTTATCCAAGCATTCTTTCATTGCATTTATCCAGGTTTTACTGTAGTCGGAACCGACCCATCTTACTTGAAGAAGCAGCGTTGGAAGGGGAATCGGAACATGTGTTTCAGGAGTGGCTTTCCCCTACTTGGCCAGACCTGGCCTACGAAAATGATACAATTTTATATACCTTTTCCTCTCCAATTGAAAATTTAAAAAATTTTCTGTTCCTACTGCCCTGTCCACGGCAATATAACAAAAGTCTCAGCCCCCTTGAATGCCTTTCTTTTTTTTTATTGGAACTAAATAACGGTTAATGCTTGGAAAATTGATGAAGTATGTGACAGACATTTAGTGAAATTGTTCAACTTTTGTTTCTTATCGATAAGTTTTTTGATTAAGGAGAAAAATATTAATTTTAACTTTTTGGAGCTTAGAATTTTTACTATTTAATATCATTTTTGAACTAAAAACAACTGACTTTATTTTTCTCTGATTGTAAAATTCATATTTTTAAACAATGTTATTATAATATTAGTTATTAAAATTCCATTTGCACTATTAAGAATTCAAGTGGCCAATTCATCCGCAGTGTCCATGTCGCCCCTCTATGCTTAAAAATTCGTGTAGAGGTCAAATCGTTCACGTGGTAATTTAACGAGCCTACTGTGTAATAAAATAAGTGGTCTATGCAAGATAAATTTCCAATTGAATACTGCTAGCGAACATAATATCAATAGACTAGTAAAAGGATAAAATAAAACTCACCTCGATTAGCGACGAGGACGCTTCTGATGGGTTTGTACTGGACATCGGTGCCAAAATTCCTCGTAGCAACTTTGTACACGTGTAGCACATTTCTGTACCTGATCAACGAATATCTCGCCCTTGAGGAATGCATTTTTTATAATAATATATTATTACAACACCTTCACCAAACGTATCGTTTACACTAAACGTTGAATTTTTTTTAAAAAGAAACAACTTATATTATTTTGCACTCGTTTATATGATATTTTTAAAAATTTTCAGATTTTTAATGTATTCCAATAAAACTTCGATTGGCACTGTACTTGTTACAAAAATATTATTCCTCTTCCTTGTCACACAATTTATCACTTTTCATAGAGAAAAACAAATCTTAATCGTATTAAACAGCACTTTGATCCACAAGCAACTCGTTTCTATCGTCACACGAAGCTCGTTGTATTCGAAAAGTTCAATGGTAGGGTTAAAACTGCACCTCGTTCCTTATCAAGTTCAGCGTGGAGTGATTATCACGTTTCTGAAACAAAGAATATAAAAATTCATGGTTGATTAAACAAATCCACAGTACGACGGAGCGGAGAATTCAAAACATAAATTGTCAACTTAAGATGTAATCGGAGAAATTATTAAACATTTCGAGCACGATTATTCTTATTGCTCGTAACACTTGAACGAAGTTTATTTTAAATGCAATAACATACATTCTGATGAGTCAAAAATGAATTTAAATTCAGAACTGAAATGATAGTTCTATGTTGTTTTAAGGAGAAACGAAGATGTATCAGTGTTATTTTAACCTTTTCTCTGTGTGCAAATATTTAACATTAATTGTATACAGAGGTGTAATTACATTCTATGCATTTTCAGTGCTAAATGTGGAGACAAAATTTTCGTTGTAAAATTTTGTCGATTTTGAAGAAGACGGATATAACAAAAATTAAAAATTAAGAAACTTCTATTAATTTTCAGGGGCGGACTGGGACTTAAATTTTTACCGGGAGATTAGTGACGTGATAAGCCCTAATTTTAATTAATTAATCTCCAAATACCTATCGACCTACCACAAATTTTGCCGAACTTCCGATGGCTAGTTCGCCCCTGAGGGTGTCGCACCCTTGTACACACAGAAAAAGTTAATGGCATCAAAGATTTCTCTAAGTAGCATCTTAGGTTCTGACAAAATTTATAAAAATATAAAGAAATTATTTGCAATTTTCTAATAAGGAAAATTGTTATTTACAGGATGACGTGATTTTCAAAGTATTACCATATTGAGTTATATGGAACACTCTGTACAGCTCAAAATGATAAGTAACAATCTATATTACTACCGTTTCCTCTAATGCAATAAATTTTTAGTTCATACATGTTCTGAAAAAAACGACTTAAAAAATTCTGTGCATACACGTGTACAGTAATTAAGCTGATTGTGTAATTATTATCATTATTCTAACTGTTCTTGTAGTTAATGCATGTACATGTGGCAGATCTTCAAAGTCGTTTTTCACAAAAATAAAGTTACATAAAAAAAGAAGTATATTATACAATTTATTCATTTTATGTTAAAAACAATCTTCTAAAAAATCTAAATTATTTAACAAATTTATACATATATATGTATAACCCAACAGGTACGTTTGTTTTTAGTAATAAATTGTATAGTCCACTAATTGAGATTCTTTTTATAACGTAAAATTATATGAAACAAAACGCTGTTGTTTTTAATAATAAAGAAAATTTTTAGTTACTTTGTAAAAGTTATATAACTTATTTTTAAATAAGTTTTAAAAATTGTAATGAAATTACAAAACGTAGAATTTCATATATTTTATCAATGTGTTTAGAATGTTATTCCAAATAGTGTTATGTACAGGACAGAAATGGATTATTCTGTATAAGTAAGGAGTCTTATTTATAAAAGGTCAACAGAGCATCATCAATTATGATAAAATAAAAAATATTGTAGATCAAATTTGAATGGTAACAAAAATGAATATGTACATTCTAAAAAATATTTTTTTCCCAGAGACTTTCTTTAGTGGTTTCAAGATCAACGATGTTTTTTTTCATATACAAATGCATAATCTTTTTTTTATTAATTAGTATTACGGTGTGTTCAGAGATGTATATTACATAATTTTGGAGTAATCTAGGATTACTAAAATTGTAGTTAAACCTGAAATTTATTTCCATTAAAATCTTAGGCTCACAATTAGGCAATCACGGTCGAGAACCTGTGAATGTATGTAAGTAAACATGTTTACCATCCCAGTACAAATATCTGGATTCTCTAATCGCTATGAAATTTTGAAGACATCTATTAATCACTTTCATACACAGTTATCATGTGAACCCTAAAGTAGTCGTGCAGATGACATTAGTCATTCGATTTTCAGTAATAATATCTACGATTTTCGCCTAACAACAACTAATAATGACTTGTAATCAGTGACAGCTCATGATTTGAAATCGTCGAGGTGCTGCATAGGGATGGGAGGTAATTATTTAGAAATACGGACGCACCTTCAATTTTGATGATTTTTAAATATGTTGTAGAAACACCTATACATATAACCACCGCTCGACCTTAATTTTCGAGATATTTTCGAAAAACTGTTGAAACTAACACATTGAATTCTGCCCATCCGTGTGGGTACGCATTAGTATGGGATCGCCGCTTTTCTACTGTTTCTGCAGGCAACAACACGACGACTGATAACCAATATATACCTTGTGTACTTCTGTATTCATGATTTCAACGTATCGTAGCTAGGATGGCAACCGGGAATTTAATATCACCTAACCTAACCCAATCTAATCTACCTAATCAGTGAATTAGGTTAGGTTTGGCTATAGCAATATTCTGGTCGCCGTTAGACGACCAGACACACGAACTGAGATGGCAACCGGGAATTTAATATCACCTAACCTAACCCAATCTAATCTACCTAATCAGTGAATTAGGTTAGGTTAGGCTATAGCAATATTCTGGTCGCCGTTAAACGACCAGACACACGAACTGAGATTCAAAATCATTAAAATTAGTTAAATTTGATATTTAAGCTTACCCGTTATATATGTATATATATATTGGTGTCGGTCTGTAAAAACAGTAGAAAAGTAAAATGTGACACGGACGCACACGACAGGCAGAATTCAATGTATTAGTTTCGACAGTTTTTCGATAATATTTCGAAAACTAAGGTCGAGCGGCGGTTATATCTATAGGAAAAAGTTGGGGTATACTTCCGAAAGGCCCCATCACCCTAGGACAACCAAACTTCGGATTTATAGTAATTGAGGGACGAGAAATCGAATGAGACCATTTTCAGAACTGGCAAATAAACCGTTCTCGAGATATACAGGGTATTCTAAATGTGCGGATACCTCCTATTATCTTGATAAGAACGCATTTCCACGCAAAATGACTAACCTAACCCTAACCCTAACCCTAACTCTAACCTAGGTTAGGTTAGTCATTTTCCGTGAAAATGCGTTCTTATCGAGGTAATAGGGGGTTTCCGCACTTTTAGAATACCCCGTATATCTCGAGAACGGTTTATTTGCCAGTTCTGAAAATGGTCTCACTCGATTTCTCGTCCCTCAATTACTATAAATCCGAAATTTGGTTGTCCTGGGGTGATGGGGCCTTTCGGAAGTTTCCTCAAAAATTGTTCAAAATGTTGATTTCTACAACATATTTAAAAATCATCGAAATCGGAGTTGCCGTCCGTAATCTAAATAATTACCAAATAAAATACTGTGCCGTTCTGCGGGACTTCACTAAGGACAAACATTGAAACAGAATGAAATGAAGCGATAACGAGCGACGATTCGGACGCATTGACATAGACGTAGATTCAGGGTTTACATTATTAAGAAAACAGGAGAGTTTTTACACTTTCATAAATTTTGCATAATAACAACTGCTGTAAAGAATAAGTATTATAAAAAGTCCATTAATGCCCAGAAAAAATCGCATGTTTATATAGTTAAATGTACCTCCCGCAAATATGGAAATTTTACGCCTATATAATGTGACCGCTGACTTCTCAAGTTAAGGATTCGTAGAGGGGATTAGGTGGAGCCAATGGCACAGTCCCCTTGCCCCTCTGTCGTTCAGTTTGTCGGTGCTCGGCAACTTACGATCTCCGAACAGTACTTACATTTATTTAGTACACTCGTCGTTAATACCCACTATATGAACCATCTGTGTGTAAAATCCACTTCACAAAAAAAAGTAGAAAAATTGATAAAATATAGAAAATATTAAGTAAGAATTATTTTCTCGACAAAATTTCAAAAATCCATAAAATGGAATTAATCACTTTGGCCTATGAACGACTCGTATGCAATTGATGCGACGTCAAACTTGCAATTAAAAAAAATCATTAAAAGAACGCTAAATGCATAGAAATCAATATTTCGAATTCACAGTGATAATTCTTCTCGATTCACAAATACAATTTCGTTATTTCTGTCACGCTTTTTAAATCAAATATTATGAAACGAAGATAAATGCTTACATCGTAATATGTATTTACACATGTTTTCGATACCATTGAAGAGATCTCATCGTCAGTCACTTTCAACGAGCACTGATTTAACACTACGCGTGAAATACCCATTGATAATCAAGTAGCTTCTCTTTATTTCCTACATTATCACCGATCTTATCAAGATGATTAAATATCACGGCACGTGAGAGATTTCGCGTGACGTGATTCAAATCTTTACGATACACTCAAGGTATAAAATCTTACATCAATTTAGTGATTCAAGATTGTACATAGTCATTCACGAAAGTATTCAGATACTTGTATTCCAAAACACTGATACGTTAACCCTGTGTGAATTGCGTTAAAAATGCGCTAAGTAATTCTGAAAAGTTTGGAAATTCTGAAATTTTCAAATTTTCAAATTCTGAAATTCCGAAATTTGAAAATCTTGAAGAGATCTGTCCACATTTTTGTGGGAGCTAGGCCCACCCTGAACCCTACTCATTATGCAAATGCCCATCATTAGGCCTATGAACTGCAGCGTTGCTAATTACGTAGCTGTAGATGCGATGTGAAACGACAAACATAAGAAGAAAAAATAATTAAATTATCATGAACAGATAAATTTTCCCGGCAGATTATTACTATATTATATCAATTGGAAAACCCATGAATGATATCATCCCAAAGTGTCATGCAATATATACAGTGGGCCACAAAATTATTCGCTCACCGTTTAAAACAGAATACCTCATTTAAAATTGGACCAAATGACGTGAGATTTCTCGAGAAGCTATACAAATTAATTCACTAATTGTAAGATATGTGCTTTTGTCGTTTTAAAGAATTATAATTTGTCGAAATCGGGAAAAAAATAGTAAAAGGCAATTTTTTAACTTTTTTATTTGAGCCTGTAATGATAATTTAAAATATGACATTTGTAAATTTAAGTATGTTATGTGTACGCTGAAAATTTCATCGAGATCGGTCAATGCTCTGAGAAGTTACAAGTAATTAA